ATGTATTTTTGACTGAATATTGAATGTTTTGTGTTTGTAATTCTTTGTGCCAAGACCTACACATTTATCAGTCGAAGTAAGCCAGTCTACCTCCATTGCAAAGCTACCAACTCCTTGTGGGTTTTTCATATGAAAACCTAAAATTTCCTTACCATATATGCTGTTAACTTCAATGACAATCCCTAGTTGACTTGTATATTGATCAAAGATTATTTTTACAGAGGTGCTTCGTCATCACATCCTACCACTGACGCTGTGTTCCGCACCATCCACTGAGGGTAGACTCACGACAGCTGATGTGGACGGAGAGTTGGTGCGCATCTCGCGCAACGATGACGACCAGATGATGGTTGACGAGCGGGGACGTGTCGTACAGGAGGATATTGTGGCTTCCAACGGTGTTGTGCACATGCTGGACAAAGTTCTCACTCCTAAGTCTGGTAAGTGGAAGAGAGAGTTGGGGGACATTAGATAGTGTTATTTGAGTGTGAATTGCACGTGTATTGAAACACACTGTACAGTATTCAGTCTTTGACTAGGGAGTAGATGACATACCATTTCCATGTAAAATATGTTGCTAGTTTTTAAATAAATTGACAAAGTTGAATTTAGCCACCAACAAAGTGGGCTGATTACTATCCAAAACACAAACTTATTGACCAACAAACTGGATGGAGAACTATAGTATCCCCTATATCACGGGAACAATCAAAGTATAGAAAACTAGAAGACAGGAAATTAATTTTGATGGAAGTGCTAACAATCAGTGGCTCATTTAATAATGACTGTCTCTATGTGATGTCCAATAATGTGTATGGAAGTATATTTTTTCATTGAGATGTCCTGTGACACTACACTAAACCAGAGGACATACTCCAAATTAGCTACCTAACAATCTGACTTTAAACTTTTAGTTTTTTTCAAAGTTAGTTTTAGTTATATATAGCAAGTACATTGTCATTGTATTAAAGGATTTTACAACTTTAGCCCGTTCTATCATCATCCAACTGAAGAAGCCAACTGTGTTGTATATTAAGTTTAATCACTAAATCAACCGTTGTCTGCAGCCAAGCCGCTGAGTGACCTACTCGCCTCGTCCAACCACACAACCTTCCTGAGTCTCCTAGACCGTGCAGGGTTACTGGAGGAGATGAACAGACAGGAGAACATCACAGTGTTTGTCCCCACTGAGAGTGCGCTGAGTGACGAGGCGACAGCGGCCATGTTGGACAGTCTGGACACTGACGCGCTGCGCCGCGTGCTGCTGTACCACATCAGTGAACGAGCGCCCTCGTGTGATCTCAAACATCACGCGGAGCTGCGTACCAGGCAGGGTGGCACATTGAGGGTCACTATGTACAATCCGGTAGGTTTGGGGATGTTTTTTATAACGGTTGTTAAATTTTACTTGGTGTCCTTGAGTACTAAGTAGAAAATGTTTGAGGATTCAATTTTGTCAGGGTCGTCTAGCTATTTCTGTGTCCACTGGAAAATAAACAGTTTGATTGTCATCAGACCTAATCAAAGACAGTCTCCAATCTCCCAGCTTTAATGATACAAGATTTACCATGAGCTTAGCAAAGCATGTAACGCAAGATATGCTTTGCAGAACGCCTTGTTCAGTGGTGTGGAGCCGCGCGCCGCTGTGCAGTGCGCTCCTCTGGCTCGGATGGACGGCAAGGCGTGTCACGCGGTCGCTCACGAGGTCACACGTCTGCTCCTGCCGCCCAACAACACAGTACTACAACTAGTCAATGATAATCCTGAACTGTCTGTTCTGAGGAGAGTCATAGAGGTAGGTTATCTACTTAAACTGAAGTAGACTTTGGTTGATGGTAGCTAATTGTGAACGCAAAGAACAGTTTTGAATGAACCAGACATTTCTTTCTTTACTTTTTCTTACTGAGATAGTTTATATAAAATAAACACAACTAACATTATCTAGGAAAAAAGTTCCAGGTAGTTAAAAGCACTCAAAAAAGTTCACAAAACATAGAACTTGATATTTTGTCCCTACAATGGGCTTCTTCAGAAGAAGTTGAAAGTTTATTCAGTTTCAACGACTTTCTTCTGAAGCCTCTTCTAGGGTTTATAACTTATCCTAAGCCAAAATTGTTATCCTCCAAAATGACTATAACTTATTTACATTTCACCCACAGGGTACAGAACTGGAGAAAGACCTGGACGAAAAGACAAGGTCGGAGTTGCTCTCTGAAGGGTTCACTCTGCTAGCCCCCTCTGACGATGCTTTCAACAAACTGGACGAGGACTTGCTGAACAAACTGCTCACTGATAAGAAGTACGCTACTGAGGTGTTGCGCAGACACCTGTTGGGAGGCAAGTCATAGATATTACTATAGATTATACTGCTTATAGATTTAATATACTTGGAAGGTAATTTTAACATTGTTTTGTACAGTTCCTATGGAGAGGATGTTTTCACAGGGAAGTAAGGGATACTTACTTACTTACACCCAGGGCCATTCATATTGGAGGTATAAAAGGCCGCACCAACAAATCTTCGCTCCGGTCCTCTGCATCTTCTTCTACTTCTCCAATTCCATCCACGTGTTCTTTCACTTGTTTCCACCATCTCTATTTTCATTGTTTTGGTCTTCCTCGAGTTCGCCTTCCAACAGCATTACCCACTAATACTCTTCTCAGTCTGCATTCTTTGTCCCATCTGATTCTTTGGCACTTAATTTCCCAACTATATCTACGCTGTTGTAAAGTTGGCTCATCTCCTTATTGTGTCTTCTTCCCCATTCCCCTTGATTACATATAGGTCAATAAATTTTACCCTACTTTATTTATATAGGTACAATTAGTTTCTTTTCATCTTTATTTATTTTCCATGTTTCTGAACCGTATAGGAGAACTGGTCAAATTTCTGTTTTGTATAACCTGATTTTTGTTTTGTAAGAGTAAGGTTTAGAGAAAACTATAAAAAATATAAACTCCTTGTCCTCATGTACTACAATGCTCACAGTGGAGGAAGACCCTGAGCGACAGGAATTTCCACACAGTGCTTACCACTAGGGCGCTTCCTTGCTCGTCACAAGTCTATTTCCGGCACATACTAGAGCTAAAAGAGCACGGTCGTCCCAAAAGCAAGTTTGTACCTTACTTCTCTGTGCTACTATTTAAAAAAATATTGATTAATCTTATCAACACGGAGATTTTTGCAGGACAGAACAATCAGCTGTGTGCCTAATTGACCTGTCACATTGTTTCTACAGAATCAGTTTGCTGCGCTTCCATAACCCCAGTACCCTGGCCGTTCACAAACTCCGTGCGGACCTTGGAGGGTAAGAAGCTGGAGGTGAACAGAGACCGCAGAAACCGAGTTGTCTTCGGCACCGCGACTGCGGAGAAGTGTGACAACATCGCCACTGATGGACTGGTACACGTCATTGACAATGTAAGTGGCAGTTTGCTTCTTAAAGTACCTTAAAGATTCTGATTTAGAAATATTTGTTTAATGATTATAAGTAAAAATGGAAACTTATATTTTTATAGGAGTAGAAAAATAATATAGTAAATAAAAACCTAGTAACAAGAGTTTCTCAGTCACAAAATGTGTTATCAGTACAAGTCAGATCAAACTGAACTACAGAAATGTTGGATGTGCTCATATAAATACAAGTTTAATAAACATAACAACAAAACTTACAAGGGACAGACAATAAAAATGATACAAGTTAGTCTAACTAGATCCTAACTAACTTGACCAATTTTTTTTAAGTAGCCAATCTCTATCCTCAGCAATCTTACCCTCTAAAATAGCTTAAACTTTTGTAAAATACATTTATTTAATTTTATAGAAAAGAGATCCTGATAATTCCAACCTTTTTTTTGATTCTTTGTTTTATTCAGAACATCATTATTAATTTTGTCACAAAAACACAATTCGACGTTCTGAAGTGAAGGGAGAGAGTTAAATTGCATTTTGAAATGTATTTCTAAAACCTATTTGAACAGCTTGTAAAAATTGAATTTGGCTTCGGTGAAAAACGTACACCGAGAAACAACCTCCAAATATCAATTTATTGTATGTAAATTTGATCACTGTGTACTTTTTACTTTTTAACGTTGGCACTACTGATTACAGGTGCTGCTGCCTGAAGCCACCAAGGTGAAGCTGGGGAACGTCGTCTTCGGCTCTCCGGATCACAAGATAATGTTGTTTGGCATCTGAGTGCTGTGACTGATATTCGTGATAATTTAGATAGGTCTAACCAAAGTAAAGGTTGTAAGATTAGTCGTAAGTAAGCTGGTGATCTTTGAAGTTAGAAATAAGTATTAGTAGTTTAGTCCAACAAATTTGTATACAAAGTGGTGAAGTAAATTTTATTACTTTTTATTGCTTGTGATTTCTTTACCTTTCAGTTTTATTTCAGGAGATGCACTTTTTGGGATCAAGATGGATTAGATTGCAATGGTGAATAAACCTAATTATTTGAAATAAAAAAAGTTATCGGTTCAAACTGAATGGTTTGAATGTTTGACATAAATCAAATCAGTTCAGGCTTGTCTAAGGTTACTGAATGTCTCCCGAGGTCCCGGGTTCAAATCCCGCCAAATCGCCAATGGATTTTATCTAACTGAAAGTGATAATGCCGCAACCCCTTGGTCTAGCCTGAAGTAACGTGAAAAACAATCCCGGGCTCGTGCCTAGTGTCCTAGGACAAAAAAATTCAATTATAAATTAGTGCAACAGCTGTTTTGGTCAGAGGGGATAGCGCTGTTCCCACTTTCCTCTCGCCGCGGCCATAGCTGTTCCTTCTATTAGTCATTAACAAAATGACATACAACTCACGGGAACACGACAATAAGACTATGAGACAGAAACTAAAAAATTAGAAAACCGTATGGATTCTATACTAGATCAAAAATGACTCAAAAGAAATTAAATGCACACAACCATGTATTTAAAACTTAATTCTAAATTCTACTATTAGAATTAGAACTCCAAGGTAATAAGAAACAACACCATTCAATGAACTTTAAAGTTTGGTATATTTGAGTTTTAAACAGTTGTAATATTTTTTAACAACACAGATCATAGTATATGGTAAATGGACAGGTCATTCACATTAAATATTATGTGACCTAGAAAAAGACATGAAAATACCAGTAAACACAAACAATAAATTATATTTTTTTGGTTACATGTAAAATGCAGAGAGTTTAAAAGTGGGCCAAAGCATAATACTGAAAGTGCTGTAAACATTGCTTTGTGAGTTCCACCCTCTTTCAAAAACGACAAAATCAAATATAAACTTTTACTTATAAACCTAGACAAACAAACCGAGTTCCACTCATGTTGGATTTGTATGAAAATAAAAACACCAGTGATTTGTGAATGCAGCTGGAAGTTTTATGGAATTTTATCACCTATAGAACTTTTTCAAAGTATGATTCCAACAACACACGAATATAAAAAATTATAAATAGACGGAGAGCACATTCACAAAAGACTAGACTCTAGAAGAACAAAAACGTCTTTTCTTCAAACGAGGAATGGTGAGCCCTTGAATACTGTACAAAATTATTTAATAACGTTAACAATAAATTATCAATTTAAAAAACCACTAATTATTTACAAACGCCGAAAAAATCTAGTTTTAAGTAATAAAAACAAAACTTACAGCTAAAATAAATATTCTCTCCCTGTATTCCTCTCGACATTCTGGATTAAAAACGTTTGTCGCGTAATTAAAACACGTCGCAGCCGGGAAGGATATACTTAAGCTTCGAAAAACACTGCGATAAGTACGTAAGCTACTCCTAGTCTCCAAGAAGTTTAGAAAATATCGGGATCGCCGACCGCTAGACATTACGAATCGCAAACTCCGGCCGGATAATTTGAAAGATGCTTAAAATGAAAACAGCCTAATGCGTGGATCACAGGATGCTCGAGACGGCAGACAAGTCACGTCATGTTGACGCCGAGCGTCTGACGACAATGCTCGTAGACGATGTAGCTGATGCTGACAGCTGGCGCGACCTTGAGGAGATTCAAGGTGATGCCTCGGTACAATCCCACCAGCCCCTCGCTGTGTACAATCTCCTTGAACTGAGTGACCATCGTGTGTTTGTTGTTGGCTGAAACACACAACATGTGAATCAAACTATACTGTCAAACAAGCAAAACTTAATGATTCTCTGGTCCAATTGAAATTAATTGCCATATTTTTAATGTTTACATCAAAGGACCGTGACTGGATGCGTACTGAGCGAAAGACCTATGATTATAAGATCAAAAAGCAACAACCTTACCACCTAAGTTCTTACTAGTAAGGATTGAAAATGTGCAGTTCATTTTCTTTACCAACAGCTGTACTAACGCAACTTCAAAAACTAAAAATAGTTATTTAAATATTTATAAACTCACGAGTAGCTTGCATCCTAGTCCTGATGAGCGCCAGCGGGTAGCTGCAGACCTGTCCACACGTGCTGGAACACGTACCACAAGCCAACAACAACAACGGACTCGGTGTTTCGTCCAAATGCTTCTTCAGATAGTTGTTCTTCAGCGTCTGAAAACACAATTGAGTTTCAGCATTAACTTTTTGATTTTGTAGTAGGCAAATTAGATGTATGAAACAGACGGAGCTAATTTTGTAATCAAATAAAAAACACAAGAGTGTGGTACAGACAAAATTAGTTATCTTCTCTTAGTTTTTGAGAGTTGTTTGATGGATGTGACATAGGAGAGGCTGTAGTTTAAAAATAGGTGTCCTTATGATTTTGCTTCGTTAAAAGTTGGCGTGGTGGTTAAATTCGATTGCATTATTATTATTTTATTGTAAAAATTTTCTCAACCCATTAAACTAAAATCTTAAATGCCTTTGCTGCAGCTATAGCTAATAAAATTCAAAGAACGTGACAGTGTAAGATAATGAAGTCAGAAAGTTGTTAAATCAACAACCTATCACTTGTTCATTATTGTATGCAATAATTTTCAACCTAATTATTGTTATGGCATAACCAGTCTTGTTATCTTACCTCATAACAAGCCAAATCGATTCCCGCGTAAGGAATAATTCCAAACATGTTGGGTATATAACCTCTGTAGAAGCTCTTCAATCCCTCATTCTTGAATATCTTCTTGGCTGCATCCATGATGCTCTTGTACTCGCCTGTCTTCCGTAATGCTAAGCGAGTTTTCAACACCTAAAACAATTATTTAATGAGTACAGATTACACTGCAATAGGAAAAATTATATGATTCGTGCTAGGTGTAATTGGTTAAAGTAGCCTGTCTTTTGTCATAAATCAGTAAAAGTTTGTAAAGAATAGAACTCTATTTGCAAGTAAAGATTTTTTCAATAAGGATGGAGTGTGGAAGGATGAGAGAGGCTCCCAATAACACTGAGGCTGAGGGTCACACCACCAGACACTAGTGGTATTAAAATAATACAACAGCAATTAATTAATTGAGGTGACTGTACAAAAGTGACGGTGGTGGGGAAGGGGTGTTGAGCGCAAGCTCATCCAGCTTGCCACTCTAATTGAAGTGATCCAGGCCTATACATTCAATCAAATTAATGTTCTAACAATCAAGAGTGTCTGCTATTTAAAAATAGATAGTTACATGTTATCCTCTTGTAGAAATGGCACAGGAGGGTAAATCATGTGCTCAAGCTCCTGACATTGTAGTATTTATTGGTAAAGGATAAGAAAAAATAATTGCTAGGACACGAAGGAAGAAAAGAGGTGGATAGGATTTAAGAGCATGGGTGGGATAGCCAGGAAAAGGGAAATCACCTTGGTTGGTAACTTTGGAGGGATACCAACAGAATAAGAATTGTATTGAGTTGCAAGTAAAATGTCAAGTAGGTCAAGTAATGAACAGCAAAAATGGTAATTGTTATTGAGATTGAATGACCTCTGAAGTTAGTATACATAGTACCTATGCTACGTAGGAAGTCAAATTAATACAACCGGGCATGGTCAAGTGTGGAAGAACTATAAAACTATAGGGCTTACCCTAAATGACAATTTCAAATTCTTTGCAGCGAGAGCCAAATCCATAGAACACATATCCAGGGTTGTTTAGCTTAGCACAGAGATGGTTGAAATTCCCTAGATATGTGGAGGCCAAAGGAGATGAGAAATGGGTGTCCTGCAGCTATTAAGATTTTCCAAGAGCTTATGACTGATGGACTTGACTTGTTTGAAAAGTCTACATAATTGACAAAAATCAGTAATTTACACTGTCCGTACTCCGTAACTCAATTCAACTATGTCCATTTTGTTTGATATAAAACACTGGCTACAACTCCATGTGGATGGAATGTTTCTTCTATCAATAGACAACGCTAAAAGTTCAGAAACAAACCTCCAACGGGTAGATGACGGTCTGACTGAAGCCTCCGGCCACCGAGCCAGCCATGAACCTCTGGTGAATAGTCAACTCCTTGTTGTTGCTGTTGTTACGGATGAACTTCTTCACTTGCTCGTACGCCATGAACTTGAGGGCGCTCTCCGGGGCGATCTTGAGTACGTTGATACCATTTCCCCGCCACATGCTCCATGGCCCTCCCTCCATGATCATGTTCTTGATACAAGTTCTAATGCAGGTCTTCCTGGTGCCGTGTACCTACAACATTCAACTCTCAATAAACATTTATATTTTAGAATAGATTGTTTGGTTCCAAAATAACATAGTGCATGTTTTAAGGTTTTTTGGTCAAAGAATGAATTTTCTATAGAAAATAAAATGCATAGTCGTTATTGATAGATAATGTAGGACTTACGGGGCTTGAAAATAGTAATTTTTCCAAATTTTGGTACAAACGTAGGGTTTGAACCACAGGCCTGACAAATTTGAAAATTTGGCATTATATCTTATAAGTTTCTTACGAAGATAATAGTTTCATTCCAAAATTTGCAAACACTAGACAATTTTAGTTCATTCATAATATGTCATTTTCAGAGGGCAACAGGTGATTAAATATAGTAATCTTGACCGTTGTGTTGGAAAATCACCTTCTACAGTCAAACCGACCACACTACGTCCCGCTAATCTCCCTGTTAAAAGCGACAGTGGCGGCATACGCGGTGACTTCAAGATCTACTGACCTCACTGCTAGTGTCCCACCCAAACAGCCGTAAGGCAAAGATAACTGAAGGATGAGATAATAGATATGTCACAGACTACGATCAGGTCATTCAATTCAAGAAGGGTGAGCATACAATGAATTGAGAAGATTAATGTAGCTCCTATACTGACTAAGACCAGCTGTTCTTCACTTAAAAGCAGTTATTTGTCAAAAGCCCAAAGATCAAGGGAGTTTCCAGTCTATAGAAAACCTATTCAACCTTTTTGGTTCTTTAGAGATGATCCACCAAATATATCAAGTGGCATTATCAATTATCAATTCTTGAGATGGGGACGCCACCTTGATGGTTATTTTAACCCAAGAGTGAAGGATGAGTGTAGAATGGAGTGTGATGATCTGTGTACCTTTGTTACTGACTACAAACAGCTGTTTCAATAGTAATCACCAATATTAAAAGCCCGGATCAAGGACAGCTGGGTTGCACGATTAGAAGCCACTGGTGATTGGCCGTATGTGAACCTTTCCCTCCTAGAAGTCTTGTGCTCTTAACCACTAGACCAGCAACGGCCAACATAGTCATATAGCACCCAAAATACTCCATATTTCCCAAAAAGTTAATTACAGTAGACTCCCTCTTATCCGGACTCCTCGGGACCGAAGCCAGTCCGGATAATGGGGTTTCTGGTTAAACTGACGTCCCCAAAAAATCGTTAAAACGTACCGTTTGAATGCATACTGTATAAGCCAATAATGATAATTACATAAGAATACTAAAACTAGACACGTGATCACTGGTCTCAAATCTTTCCCACGAGAACAGTTGTTTCAGTACCACCCACTTTCTGCCGATCTAAACCGTTTAAACTGATCTGCTGATAAAAATTGTCCGGTTAAAGAGATGTCATTTCAGCCGAGTGTAGTCCAGTTAAACCGATGTCCAGTTAAAAGGTGTCCGGATAAGAGGGAGTCTTCTGTATATTCATTCAGTTTAAAATGAGCAAAAATGCATTACATAACCAGAGAACACAATGTCCCATTGTAATAGAATTTCTTATGTAATCTCTACAGCCTTGAAGTGGATTACCACTTAAAGTATACGACAAACTATCTATCTCAGAGGTTTCAAATGCGTATATTACAGTGGAATTGGCGATTTCATAAAATTTACAATCTTGTTTTAGGCAGATACCGTAAATAAACATTCTTGCTAAATAAACAATTTATACTAGCACCGAATATAACAAAACTTAGTAGCCGAATGATTTGTTAAATAGTGCTTGTCTAGTAGTCAAAATGTCACAAGTTTGATTTTGAGAAGCCAGTAGCTTTTTCATGGTTCAATACTTGACCAAACAGTCTTAGATCATTAAGATAATGCATGGTATTGACCAAATAAACAATACAAAGCTACACAGATTGTGTCACTACATTTTATGCTCATCTAAAATTCACAATCAGCTTAAAATACACAACAAGATGGTGATGATGTTTAAAAATAATGAAAATGTTAGCATGTTTCAGAAAGGGGGTAGAGTTCAGCTAGCTAACTTAAGAAAGTTGAAGTCTAGGATACTAATAGATACACAATCAAAAGTCACAAAAAAATCATACTGACAAAAGACTCATTTGGAGAGTCAGTTGAAGAGAAAATTGAAGAAAAAATTATTTTCATCATACTGTCTGGTCTGCAAAACAGTAGTTTTAATTTTTCTAAATCTTCCTAAAATCTTCCTTGTTTTTGGACAACTTCAAATAGGGAACAGAAAAACACATGGTAAATTATTCGGTTGGCTAACTTCAAAATTTGTTTATGGCACATTAGAAAACGCTGCTGATCAGACTATATTTTAAGTTATGTTTGTAAACAACAGAAATGTAAACATTGATGATGACTTTGCATTATGTGGCCAAATTTTGTGACGATTAGAAGGGTATTACCACAGTTTGATTATTATTTCTGGTCAACCTACTCTCTAAAAAAGACCTTTATTAGGACAAAATATCAGTATTATATTTTGTCTATTTTATTGTGTATCTACCAGCTTTTGTACCCTAAATCTCAGGTAAACTAGATTAAATGCATCCTCTTTCTAAAGAATTCTTAACTAGCCACTTGGTTTTCCTATGATAGTCATGACAATGTCAGTTATTCTGTACCTGTAGGTACACTTTAGCCCTGTCCAGGGGCGCAGTGCAGGTACGAGAGACGGCCCCCGCCACGCCACCCGCCACCAGATGCCGCCACCACATCCCCGTCGACATCTCCTTCTGTGTGAAGTCATCTGGAACGTTCAGGTCCTCTCCGATGTCCAAGTACTGCAACATAATACATTCTGGTTACAGACTTCTAAAAATACTACTCACATTCTAAATTTACTAAACCAGTAAATCTTACATTCAATATTATTATTGATTTGTACACAGTTTTCAAACAAAGTGGCATTTTGGTCACTTGAATTTGTTTTAAAAAAGGCTGATTTCTCAACATCTAGTACAATATCTTCATATTCTAAACAACTTCATCTTCCCAACATCTTTTAATCTACTACTTTGCTCACCACCAATGCTAATTTCACCAATTGTTGTTGTGAAAAATAAATTTAAACAAAAAAATGTTTCCGATAAAACTGTTTCCAATTGTTAGAACACCATTGTATTAAATTGATGTTTTATAAAAGTAAGTTTCTACTGAAGAAAGATTTTTAATTGTCACTAGTAACAACTTAAAAATGTACAAACAATGACAAAATGTAATGTGCAAGGATTGCTGAGTACCTAACTTTTTCTATTATTAAAAAATAGATTTTTCTCACTAGTATCACAAATAACTATTAAATTTGGGAAACTACATTTCTGTACCTATTGATTGTGAGATATTTGAAAGATAAACGGAGTACGTAGTATTATTGACTATTGGATACAATATTATGTCCATACATTTGGGGAATATCTTTTTATGTACATTGCTAATTTCTTTAGGCACTCACTGAGCCTTATGCTATTTTTGTTGGATTAGATCCAAACACAAACTTCCTATTAATTAGATGCTGTTTGACTAAAAATCAGTAAAGTAACTGAAAACACTAAATGTAATTCAATTTAAAAACAGATACATTGACTGTCAGCTTAAAATTTAAAAAAGCGAAAGCAACCGAATACAAGGACACTGCCTGGTTAACTATTTGAATACTAGCAGATTTCCCATTAAATCACACTTTCAACATTAATTAACAAAAACATATTACAAAACCCAATTATATATTTCAGTGATTAAATCCACTTGTTTACATCAAGTGCAATGTCGGACTCTGACCTTAACTAATCGTGTTCAATTCATTAACTTAGTGTCCAACTCTTACTGAAAGTTTTTAAAATACAATAATTTACAACGTTATAATAGTTGTCACCAAACTGTTTCTCAAATATACCTGGATGTTGTTGAATTGAACCATAGATTAAACATACTCCCTTAAAGATGTATCGCCCTTATCAGATGAAAAAAAATTAAAGGTTAGTTCCCTGCAGTATATAGTCTTGTTTTCAAAGTTATCTCATTGCCTTTAAACAATTAAACTACTCAACAAAAAAAATCTATTTGTAAACAATCAATTTTCCTCCAGTAAAACTAAAGAGTAAAGCACTTATCTTAAAATCTTCGAAAAAAATCATTTCAGTATTATCAGCACACTCTAACTTCATCAACCTCAACAAGCTTGAGATTTTACAATAAAAAAGTCTACTTAGTTTCTTAAAAGTCAATACTTGAAGAATTGAAGGATTTAGACTTTTAAAGCGTTGATAAACAACTAAATTCTGCAGCAACTTTACTTCCTATGTAAATACAGTTAATTTTCATAGCTTAGGATTGTGTTGTGAGAAATTTGAATGGCAATTGAAGTGAAACCTATATCAAGATTAATTTAAAAGCGGTTATATTTAGGGATTTAGTAAAAAGAATGGCATGTTCCTTTACACCACCATCTCTATGTTTTTGTTGTTGTTTAAATGTTATGATTATCTACAAATACTGTGCACTCTGCTAGTTTTGGTTAAGTTAGGGTGATATAAAAGCAAAACCTAAAACTTCAGCTGTGCATTTTTCACATACTTATACTGTGGTTGCCGTATAATGATAATGTCTTCAATCCTTATTTACTTAAAAAGACTACTGTCAATTGCGAATGCCAAGTTTGCACAAAACGATTAAACTTCCAACTTCCGTGACCGCTCAAACACAAACAAATCACTTACAACTACAACCTCCTCCTCCACGTCCTCCAGCTTCTCGTGTACTTTGTCGTACATCTCCTTCAGACAAGCGTACGAACACAGCTCCATGGTGCAGAAGAGCGAGGGAACCAAACCAGATCCTTGTGGCACTCCGCGAATATCGGACGCGACTGGTTAACAGCTGATTGATACGGGCTGACCTCGCCGCTTATCACTTATCACAAGGTCTTATCGGTGGCACCTCACGCCGAGAGGGTGTCTATAGTCTAGTCCGTGGATCCAGAAACGTGGGTGAACAGAAACAGACGCGCGGCGTTCTCTACGTAAACCGACTTTGAACCGTTTTTGAACTCCCGCACGCCGATGACGCCGCAACCGTTATCAAGTTGGATAATTTTTATCGAGGATTAACGCGGAAAAGGTTGTGATATGTTACGTAACATCGATCTCGAGTTTGCAGATTGTAAAGTCATACTCGAGTTTTAATAAGTTAACTATCAAACAATGAAACTCTAAAACGAAACAGACGATAAAATGACGTGGTGGATATCTAGAAGTCTATTTCAAGTAATGTTAATGAGTGTCGGGTAAGAAACTCAGAAATTTACAAGGCAAATACTATATTTAGTTTCAAATTCACTTTAAATTGTCGAAAGACGAATCTATAAAACTAAACGCACAATAAAAATGAGAAACATGGTAAAAATATAGTCGAGAGTCAAGTATAATGTTAATTAGTGGTAAAAAATTCATTTTAGGTTATATTTTAGATACTCTAAATTTTCAAACGACGAACCCGAATAACAAAACAACAAAATAAAACATACGTACACAGAATCATCACTATAAGTGTTGTCTAGAAAAACAAAGATTCACTAGAAGTGGAGAATACTAGATGGGTTTCAAAATTAACTTTAAATTTTCAAACAACAAATCTAAAACTGAATGGACATGAAAAAAGCAACACGTGATAAAAATACCAAACGAATTACTTGTACCACTGGAAAACTGTAAATATACAAGAAGAATCACCAAGCACTGTACTGATGGTATCGAACGGAGACGGACAACCGAACTATGGACCACACAGATCATCTGGCTGACAACTACTGACTACTCTAGACTAAACACACGAGGTCAATGTCAGTGGCCGTCAATTGAATGAGGAAATGTGAGGTTGACAACAGTGTTCCCCTTGCCCCACATTGTCTAATAGGCGAAACAACGCGTACAACTTCGCAGGTTGTATCTTCCCCGCCACAGCAATCCTGCAGACTAAGTGAATATTAATTCATGTGATTGGATTTCAGCTTAATATTTCCATAAAGTCATATATTTCCCCATAACATTAGATTTGACGAGTACCTAGGTTTGCTGCTACGGGGAAGGTAAAAATTGGTGTTTTCGCCAAACGTTAATAGTATAGGATTAAATGAATAAATTTGCCAAAATTTATCGGCATACATTTATAAACAAGCAAACTACAATTTTTCCTTTTCTCCATAAGAATCACATCGAAATATTAAAGTTACAGTTTTTGGCATTTTCTACGTAACGTTTAATACCACTGTCACCATTACCCGATCTAGCTGGTTGGCGAAATCATTCGAGTTTATCCAGCCAAAATATATAGATAAATATGAAAGAATGGTGTTTTTGACCTCTGGGGTCATCAAAATTAATAAGGTAAATCGGTCCCGGGTCTATATCTTACCATGCCAACTACAATAATAGCTACTTCCCTTTAGGGAAATTAGTGTTAGAATATGCCCCCCCCCTCTCCAAAAAAATAGTTGGTGTTTGCTTAATCTTTAAACAAGACTAAGACATTTGTCTTTGTGCCAGTAACGGTTTTGTAATCTTTCTGTTGATTTCAGAACGTTTTCCTGGAGTGGTTTACATTCATCGCGTCGTCTGCTTATCATTCTAAAGTGTGCTTGTTTAGTGTATTATGCGACAAATTGACTCTGAACGTATAGCAAAATTTCAAATTTTTTCATTTTATTTATTTATTTCTAATTGTGAAGGTGTTTGAACTTCAAACCCCACCCCATACATAAAATTCCACAATAGGATCCACACTCAAACACAACTCTACAGAATAACCTAACTATTTTATACTCTCCTTGACAAATTTCACACTAATAAAAACATACTTAAATCAAACTATCAGAAAGATTTTAAAACTCAATACTATGGGGGATATTCCGACTGGAACCCTACTATTCTACTAGTATTGTAACTACTGTACTTAGTTAACCTGGTGTCCTGGTGTGGAGAAATCGCACAGTGACCTGTCCATCGGTCTCACACACTAACACACAACCACACACACACAGGTTACACGTGACTGTATAATAGCATTACGCCGCTCAATCTGTCTGCAGTTGACCCAGGCTTGTCACATATGTTTTCTATATCCCAGTTTAGACTTTTTAGTCCAACCTTTACAGTCTCGTACGCTAGGCTCTCTGGAACGTTTATTACACTTACAATTGAAGCTTTGCGACAATTTATCTTAGCTGTATACGAAGCCGACGAGTAAAGTGTCCCTTCTCATACTTATGGAACAGCTGAAGAAAATTTTATAGTTCTGTACGATGTAGAGGTCGTATTTTGTTTACAATTTTCTTCTTATTATTTCAGTCATTTAAAACATCGTTTAGCCAAATAATAAGATCTAATCATAAACAATAACTCGGGGACGAGTTATATGACCAAACGGTAAAGCAAAAAGAAATTAACCCTAAAACAAAATTACGTCGACACTAGCACCCAGTGTCACCGTACATGAACTAGACCTGAAAAACTAGCTTCGAAATTTACAATGGGGTGAGAAGTCTGTGTGATACTATTCAAATATGAATTTTAAAAATTAAATAAATCGTTTACATATTTGACATTTTATAATTTAATTTGAGCACGCTGTTAACTGCTATAATTGATTTCGATTAATAAAGTTCAAATATACATGCACCACATATACAGATTAAAATAAAAATACAGTAACACGTACATTAATCTCATGAAGAGCATTACAATTCAGTTCGTTTCTCTTTAGTGTATGATTATTGACTGGGATGGTT